AACACATTGGATTTGCCACATTTCTGAAATTCTGTGCCACCCCTCGCGCAGATCCGCGGGGTCAGGGTCCAAAAACACATGGGATTTGCTACATTTCTGAAATTCGGTGCCACCCTCGCGCAGATCCGCGGGGTCAGGGTCCAAAACCATATGGGATTTACTACATTCCTGAAATTCGGTGCCACCCCTCACGCAGATCCGCGGGGTCAGGGTCTAAAAAAACATTGGATTTGCCACATTTCTGAAATTCGGTGCCACCCCTCACGCAGATCCGCAGGGTCAGGGTCCAAAAACACAAGGGATTTGCCACATTTCTGAAATTCGGTGCCACCCCTCACGCACATCCATCGCAAGGCGTGGCAACCCAAACTGCGAGTACTCCCTCGGCCCTTTAATCCCAAGGTGTGGCAACCAAGCTCGTAAACCATACACGTCTTACCAATCGCCCTGTGTGGTAACCCCTCTTGTGATCAGTTGGCTTTGCCGATTGCGAATCGGCCTCGCATGAAGTTCCGATACTGCTGCACGACAGCGCCAAAGCCTCATGACTTAGCTCTTCCATGGCCCATTCTCCGAGAGAGGGGTCCGGCGGCAGGGGGCGAAGCCCTTGCGGATATATATATATATATATATATATATATATATATATATATATTCTTCCGCTGCGCTGGTAGCTATGCTGTGGTCCGACTTTGTCAAGAGTGGATACGCCCTTTTCCTCTGTCGTTTACTGCCAACGAAGATCGGCAACTTCTTAGTGCATTTCCATTCAGCGCAGGCGCCACCGTTGCTTTTTTGCTTCCATAGCAAGCTGGGCCTGCCCCTCCAAGAAGTGGTCGTAGTCTCTGTCGATCATCTTCGCAATGCTCTTCCTGGCGGTGCGAATCCACTGCGTGACGGAGTCGAGAAAAAACATTGATGGTCGAAATTGCTGATGTCGTGTTGGGCCACGTAGTGCAGCTGGAAGGTCTCGCGGTAGGCGTATTGGATGGCTTCGATGGGCATCTGAAGGGTAGGATCTTCGTTTATGTACTTCAGAAATGTTTGCGCTCGGCGTTTTGTTGCTGGATGCTGTGGCCCGTCGCCCGAAGCCTTCCTGATGCATTTCATATATTTCCTGCGGCACATGATGAAGGCCAACGTTTCTTGTGAGATGTACTCCCGGGACTTCTTTTGGTCATTTCGAGCGAAGGATCCCTGTGCCGCCTCCATGATGGTCAGCATGTAATAGTAGACGTGCTCGTCGAAATTCATGTTCCACGTTGGGAGTACCGTAGAATTGGGCACGCTCTTGAACTTTCGCACCGCCTCTTCTGACATCAGCTGATTCCGATCGATCTTCGGCAAAAAATGCTTCGGTGCCGTATCTCGAACCGTCCACTGCGCTGTTGCCGTGACTGGCGCGTGGTCTTCTCTGTTGCTGTCGTGCTTTTTCTGCCTCTTCATGGTTTCGATGTCGTTGAGTGCATGGACATCTGTGATATTTGGCGTCCGCGTCTCGTTAGTCAGTATGTAGTCTATCTGGTGCTTGTTGCCGTGTCCGTCGCGCCATGTGTGGTGGCCCTTGCCGTTGGAGATCTTGGCATTGCTGATGGTGGGCCTTCCATCCGCGGCCATCTCGTGCAGCCTCTTGCCGTTGCCGTCCTCTGTCTGTGGGAGTCCTTCTCCGCCGACCCATTGCGTTTGTACCTCGCCCACCCTGCCGTGGGCATCGGTCAGTATGCTGCTGTATTTCCTTATGTGCCTGTTTGATGCCTCCCAGTATCTGTTCGTGTCGTCGTCGTTCTTCTTGTTGTGCGGAGCGTGGCTGACGCAGATGGTTATATTGATGGGGCTGGTTTCGATCTTTACAATAGGGGCGCGGGGCTCGCTGACCAGTGCGTGGAATTGACCCGGCTCGGAGAACTGAAGGCCGCTCTTGCCATCCGCGAACGGCTCCTCCAGATTCATCCAAAGCTCACATCCCGCATTGTAGCCGTCGTGGGGGCTGCTGGCGATGTAGTAGCTGTTGCTGGTAGTGGTCCTCCGCTCGCCCCTCGCTTCATGGATGCCGACAATATGGAGCTTGTGCTCTCAGAATTGTCGTCGTAGCGCAGGCCCTCTCCACATGTGGGCGATGCGTGCTGCTTTCGTGTGCTTCTTCTGTTGCTTCATGTCGGCTTCGCGTACGCTCTCTACGTTGTAAGTTGCAAGATTCAGTTCCACGGTTGTGTCAGTCGACGCTGTTGCGAGCGGGGCCATCAGGTGGTGCTTCTCTGCTGACATTATAGGTATTCCGAATCGGAGGTGCTGTTCCACTCTCGTTGGGTAAGCTGCTGTCTGGATGTTCGCGCTGGAGCAATCCTTCCCATTGGTAGAACTTAGATACTCCGATGATATCCTTGAAGTTATGCGGGATGACATCGTAGTCTTCGCCCTTGTCATACCGCCGTCGTGTCCACTTGGCAAGGCCATCCGCAAGCTCGTTCCAAGGCATACCTTCGTGGCTTGGTACGTGGACCAATGTTACGTTGGTGTCGGTGCGTACCATGTCGTAGATGACCTTTAGAAATCGTGATAGGTGCTCGTCCGCCGAAGATGTCGCTATCCCATTGCATAGGTGAATGGCCGTCTCGCAGTCAGTGTGTATGTACGTATGCTGGGTCTCTGTTGTCGCCGTAAGCCACATGAGAGCTTGTACGATGGCCATGATCTCACCCGTCGTGTTCGTGATCCTGGAGTTGGGGATATTCATGATGTGGCTCCCGTTGACGATGCTGCTGTACGCGCCTCTGAAGGTCCGTTACTCGAATGTCTCGCCTTCCTTCAGCACTAGGAAAGCCCATGCACAGCTCTCAGGTCGCTGCACGTTGTGGGAAGCGTCGGTGAAGATGTGCTTGGTGCTATGGTATCCGTTGCCTTTAGGTGTCGTGCTTAGCGCATGCCGTGCTGCTGGATGTAGGTCGTTTCCTTCGATATTGCACTAAAGATATGGTGCCGTCGTCGCTCTGGTGCGCCTTCCCAGGCTCCTAGTTTCTCCAAGGTCGCATGCGTATTCATCATTCTGCTGCGTACCATGGTATATGTCAATGTCGATCGGTTGTTGTTGTGAGTCTGTTGCTCTATTGGTCGTGTGCGTTTCCTTTGTCTTCTTCTTCGCTCGGAACGGTTGCATAAGTTTGGTTGATCGTCGTACTTCTTCGTCGGGCTCACGTGAAGGGTTGGTGGCTGCATCCGTCGAGGTGTTGTATGTTGTTCGTTCGTAGTTCGTCGTGCGTCGATGTCGGAAGGGTAGCATCGCCTTGTGCTTGGGCTTTTGGTGCTGATGCTCTTGCAGATCTGCTGCTAGTAGTGGTTGCTGTGTTGGCGTGTGTACTCTGTTGGGTAGCTGTATACGTTCGGTGGTGACGGTGCCCAGGGATGCTGTCTGAGCTGCCGTCCTTAGTTTGTTGTCGCTGGTGTGTAGTATGTGAAATGTGTTGTTCGTGTCGGTCGGCATTGCAGTCTGTGGTGTCATCTGTTGGCCGTCGTCTTCGTGCGTTGGTGCATTGGTCCTGGGTTGTCGTAACAGTCGGAAAAGGTTGCATCGCTTGTCGTGATGGTGTTGCTCGAAACGCTGCTGTTTGATGTCTTGGTAACTGTGTCTGTGCTGTTGCTGGTTGTGGTCGTGGTCGTGGTTGACGAGATGGTAGCTCTGCAGTAGGTAGTCGTTTGGTCGGTGGACTCGTTGCGGGGGCGGTTATCTCATCCGTAAGGTCTCCATGCGCCGACTTCAAATGGGGTTCTTGGCAGTCCCACCTCGTCCTGCTATGGCTAGGGGTCACTGTGCCCTCGGTAGGGGCGAACCCCAAACCTTGTGGTTGCTTGTCGTGCGTGCTTGTAGGTGGGTCGTTGGGAGGTCGGCTTGTTGCGGGTGTTGTGATGTGGGTTGTGGGCGCACTTATGAGGCCTCCATGCGCCGACTTCAAGTGGGGTTCGTGGCGGCCCCACCTCGTCCCGCTATGGCTGGGGGTCACAGTGCCCTCGGTGGGGGCGAACCCCAGGCCTTGTGTTTGCTTCTGTTGTCGGTGGGGGATGTCTCGGCTGCCCTCAGCTTCGCCCCTTGGGCGCTCGGGTAAGCTCCGTCTCCGCCATGGGGATGGTGGGGGTGGCGAGCTAGGGCGGACCGCGGGGGCGCAGGTAGTGGCCGTCCTACCCCCCCCCCCTGCCCCTCACCATCCCCCCCCCTGCCCCTCACCATCCCCCCTCCTCCTCCTCCTCCTCTTCCTCCTCCTCCTCCTCCCTCCTCCTCCTCCTCCTCCTCCTCCTCCTCCTCATTCACCCATTCCTCCTTCCCTTCTCCCTGCTCCCCCTCCCCCTCACTCCTCCTCCATCCTTCCCCTCTTGGGTTATGACGGCTTCCCCAGCCCTTCATTCCACGGCATCTCCCCCGCATCTCTGATCAGGGCAAGTCGCTTGGGCATCGTCTCTGCATGGGCTGGTGGGCTTGCACGAAGCGTCTCGAATCGAAGCGACTCGGCGGGATATGCTCAGATTCTGCAGGTTTTCTACCAGGTAACCCCAATGCCAGCGCCGATGCTGACTTGAACCCCCCGGGCGCTGCATCCCAGACAGGAGGATTGGTGGTCTCCAAACCAGGTGGTGAGGCACCCGGTGGTGACCCCGATTCCCCCAGAAAATAATTCTGGGTCGCCACCGGGTTTGGGGACACGCGGCCGCCACGAGGTTTTGCGTTTCCTGGGCCAGCCAGCGCTCGAAAACCATTACCCAAATCGCCCAAAACTCACCACCGGGTGTTCTCACCACCACGTTTGGGGACCACCAAGAGGAGCCTGGGTAGTCGAAGCCAATCTGGCGCCAATCTGGCAGGCCCAATCTGGCAAACGGCGGCAATCTGGCGAGGGAGCCAACGCGAAGCCAGTCTGGCGAATAACCCAAATCCTCCAGTTTGGCCAGGCCAGATTGGCCCTTGGGGCCCAATCCAATCCGACAGTCTGGCCTTCGACTACCCAGGGAGGAGCACAACCGGCAGCGGGGCGGCGCTCTCTGCCCGCGACCGGGGCGCCCCGAGGGTCACACTGGCGCGCCGCCGCCGGCCGACGCCCGGAAGTACTCCGCGAGCACAGGCGCCGCCCTCGGCCCGCGGGCAGCGGTGGAGAAGGAAGGAGGGAAGAAAGGAAGAGGGAGAGGGAGAGGAGGAGGAGGAGGAGGAGGATGAATTAGGAGAGGAGGAGGAGTAGAGGAAGAGGAGGAGGAGGAGAGGAGGACGGGGTTAGGAGGAGGAGTATGAGGAGGAGGAGGAGTCGGCGAAGGAGGGGGAGGGGGGAAGAGATTGAGGTGGATGGGGGAGGGGGAGGGAGAGAGGAGAGGAGGAGGAGGGGGAGGATTAGGATGGAGGAGGTAGAGGCGGAGGAGGAGGGAGGGAGGAGGAGGAGGGATGAGGAGGAAGGAAAAGGAGGAGGAAGGGAGGAGGGGGGGATGAGGAGGAGGAGGAGGAGAGGGGGAGGCAGGAGGAGGCTTAGGAGGAGGGGGGAGGGGGGGGAGGAGGGGTTGGAGGTGGATGGGGGAGGGGGGGAAGGTAGGGGAGGAGGTAGGAAAGGAGGAGAGGAGGAGGAGGAATTATGTGTAGTCTTGGAGCGGTCTGGTTATTATTATGTTCTTATACTGTCGTCTGTATTTGTTATTATGGGGTGGTAGTGGATCATGATGTGGATGGAGTATGAGGATGCTTACTTAGTCACTGCGTATTCTATTGTATTTTTATTATTTTTATTTTTATTTTTATTTTTGCGTCTTAGTCTTCTTCTTCTTTCTTCGTCTTTTCTTTTATTTGTGGTCTTTTCGTTCTTTTGATCTGTCGAATAGATTATTTCTTCTTTCTTTGTTCGTTGTTTTTGCTTTATTTTTTTTTTTTTTGTTTTGGCTTCTTCTTTTTTTTTTCTTTTTTTTCATTTCTTCTTTTTATTTTCTTCTTCTATTGTTTTGCTATTATTATCTTTTCTTTACCTTTTCAACCCCTCCTTCTTCTCTATTCTTCTTTATCCCCTCCCTTTCCCACTTTCCCTCCCCTCCCTCCCCCTCCTTTCTCCCTTTCCTTTTTCTCCTTAAGAAGCGCCCCCTCGAACGACCAACACAGTTGGGCCTGCCATTTCGGCGAGGGCGTCGCTTTCAAAAGTATTTGTATGCTACTGGCGGATAAGCAAGAGAGTGAAAGACAATGATCCTACAATCCAGCGAGGTGTCCAACGAGATCCCCCTTGCGAAGAAAGACCGCCCTCTTGTCAGTGTAACCCTGAAAGGTCTGCAGTGTTGACCCCCCCAAAGCTCTCGGCGGTGAATAAACTGGCCCTCCCTCCTCCCTCCCTCGCGCCCTCCTCCTCCCTGCTCCTCCTCCACCTCCTCCTCCTACTCCTCCTCCTCATAACGTTACTCCTCCTCCTCCTCCTCCCCCTCAGGCCCCCTCCTCCTCCTCCTTCTCCTCCTCCCCTCCTCCTCCTCAATGCCCTCCTCAGGCCGCTCCTCCGGTCCCCCACCCCCCCCCCCCCCCTCCCCCTCCTCAGAGCCTCGTCTGCAGGCTCTCCTCCTCCTCCTCCTCCTCCTCCTCAGGCCTCCTTCTCCCCCACCCCTGCAGCCCAGGTGGCCGTGAGTGTGCTCGACGTGGGACCATGCGACTGAACGCGAATCTTGAATACGTTGGGCGTTAAGCTCGCTGCCTAGCATATTCGTTAACCTCCTCCCTCTCCCTCTCCCTGCTCCTCCTCCTCCTCCTCCTCCTCCTCCTCCTCCATCCCTCCTGCCCCTCCTCCCCCTCCCCCTCCTCCTCCTCCTCCTCCTCCTCCTCCTCCTCCTCCTTCCTCCATCCTCCTCCTCCTCCTCCTCGCTCTCCCCTCTTCCTCCTCCTCCTTCCCCCCCTCTCGTCACGTTCCTCCTCCTGATCCTCCTCCCTCCGCCCTCTCCCTCTTCCCTCTCCTCCGCCTCCTCCTCCTCCTCCTCCTCCTCTCCTCCCCTGCCTCTTCCTCGTCCACACCTCTCTCCCTCCCTCCTGCCCTCCTTCACCACCTCCTACTCCCTCCTCATTTTCCCGTCCTCCTCCCTCCTCCCGTCACCTCCTCCCTCCCTTCACTCCTCTCTCCCTCCTCCCTCCCTGGCCCCCTACTCCCCCTCCCCCTCACTCCTCCTTCCTCCTCCGCCTCCTTCCTCCTCCTCCTCCTCCTCCTCCGCCTCCTCCTCCTCCTCCTCCCATTCCTCCTCCTCTCCTCCTCTCCCCTCCCCCCCCCTCCTCCTCCTCCTCCTCCTCCTCCTCCTTCCTCTCCTCCTCCTCCTCCTCCTCCTCCTCCTCCTCCCCTCCTCCTCCTCCTCCTCCTCCTCCTCCTCCTCCTCCTCCTCCTCCTCTTGCTCCTCCTCTTGCTAGGGTCAAGAAACTTGCTTGTAAACACTGGCGAATCATAACTTAATGACGCCCCCGGTACCTAAGCAGAGAGGAGGGGAAGGAGGAGGAGGAGGAGGAGGAGGAGGAGGAAGGAAAGGAGGAGCAGGGAGGGAGGAGGAGGATGAGGAGGAGGAGGATGAGAAGGAGGAATTAGTTTCCCACTAATGCGCGCCGTGCTGAATCATTGTGGACGGTTATTCCTCCCATCGGACAGTACCTCCTGGGCGACCCTCCACGCGAAGTGAATTTCGAGCTTGTTCGTAGGAGAGTTTGCAATACTAATCGGAGAATATGGGGAGGAGGATGAGAAGGAGGAGGAGGAGGAGAAGGAGGAGGACGAGGAACAGAGCTCCTTGGCATGTTTTTTTTGTGAGGTGCGAGCCCTTGAGCTTTCAGAGTGAGAGTTTCAGAGCAATGGGCTTTTGAAACAGTTCTCGAGCAATTAGTTTCGGAGCAATGAGTTTCAGAGCAATGAGCTTCAGAGCAATGGGTTTCAGAACAATGATTTTCAGAGCAACGAGTTTCAGAGCAATGAATTTCAGAGCAGTTCGAGTTTCAGAGCAACGAGTTTCAGAGCAATGAGCCTTTGAAAATTTCAGAGCATCGGGTGACAATTTTCAGAGCAATGATCCTTTGAGAAAAAAAAGCCTTCCGGGGAGAAGCCCTGAGGAGGACGCAGAGATACTGAGAGACCCCTCCCTCCGTCCCTCCTCCCCCCTCCTCCCTTCTCCTCTTCCTTCTCCTCCTCCTCCTCCTCCTTCTACTCCTCGTCCTCCTCCTCCTCCTCCTAGTCCTCCTCCTCCTCGTCGTCGTCGTCGTCTGTGTCGTCGTCAGCGGCGGCGGCGGGGAAAAATCCGCCGGCCCCCTTGTGGGGCCACCAGGCTGTAGGCCGAAGGTTCGCAGTTTCCTGTGCCACTTGCAGCTTCCAGTTTCCACTGTTACAATTCTGCTTCTTGCTGCTTACGGGGGGGATGCCCAAACGGGCAGGTTTAGCTCGCCCTGAGCGTGTGCTCTGAATTGCTGGGGTGGGTACAAATTTACACCCGTCACGCAGATCGGTGGGGTCAGGGTCCAAAACCACATGGGATTTGCCACATTTCTAAAATTCGGTGGCACCCCTCACGCAGATCGGCGGGGTCTGGGTCCAAAAACACATGGGATTTACAACATTTCTGGCACCCCTGACGCAGACTGGCGGGGTCAGGGTCCAAAAACACATGGGATTTGCCACATTTCTAAAATTTGCTGGCACCCCTCACGCAGATCGGCGGGGTCCGGGTCCAAAAACACATGGGATTTACAACATTTCTGAAATTTGCTGGCACCCCTCACGCAGATCGGCGGGGTCCACAAACACATTGGATTTGCTACACTTCTGAAATTCGGTGGCACCCCTCACGATCGGCGGGGTCAGGGTCCAAAACCACATGGGATTTGCCACATTTCTAAAATTTGCTGGCACCCCTCACGCAGATCGGCGGGGTCACGGTCCGAAAACACAGGAATTTGCAACATTTCTGAAATTCGGTGGCACCCCTGACGCAAATCCGTAGGGTCAGGGTCGAAAAACAAACAGGTCCCGACACTGCTTTAACGGCGGCGCCCAGACCTCATGATTTAGCTTTTGCATCTCCCATTGTCCGAGACAGGGGGCCGGCGGCATGGGGCGAAGCCCTTACGGATAGTGAGTTTCTGTTGTCGTCGGGGCCCCCGTCCGTCAATACGGCCGCCAGAAAATATGTAGCTTCCCACTGTTGCGTTTTTTTTTTTTGGTGTGTTTTTGCTATATTTACATATATACATATAACGTTCTTCTAGTTTTGCGTTTTTTTGCTATATATTATTCTTGCTTTCTGCTATATACATATAACGATCGACCCGTGAAGGTTAACTGCTGCACAAACTCATGATTGTGGCTGCTAGCTGCAGGGGAATCTCGAGCGGCAGCTCCCTTTTGAGACAGAGCAACCCTGGATCTGTGCAGCGCCACATGCGCTAACGTTTCGGATCGTTGAATTTAACGATATCCCCGGCGATTTCCATTTGGAAAAGAGTAGTCCTCCAGTCTGACCAACGTTGTACTAAAACCACAAGTGAGAACGGCGCTGATGCGAATCTTCTTCGTTTGACAATTGCCAGCGCTAAATGTTTGAAACCGTTGCGCGATTGTGGGACGAATGGCCGCGGAGCTAAGGCGATCACTCCACTTTTAAAAGGAGTCGCCCACCATTCGTTAAGCCAGTGCAAACTTATACCTCGACTGTGCACGGCGCTGAAACTAGAGCGCTACTTTGAAGACAAGTCCCCTTCCACCCTTGGAACTGCTGCAGTGTGAAAAGACGAATGCTCGCAGCGCTAAGGCGAGCGCTACATCTTGAGAGCGCTCCCCCTCCGTCAGCAAAGCTGTGGCAAACATGAAATAAACTGAGAGCGACGCTGTGGCGAGAACCACACTGTGAAAAAGAACCGCCCTCCATCCACCGAGGTGTTGCAACACGAAGCACAACAAATGGACGACAATCAAAAGGAAACCACCTTTTGAAACATACCCCTCATTCATCCGTGAAGCGGGTGTTGACTTTTGAAAACGAATTTGCGCGGCGCTGAGGCGAGAACCACATGTTGAAACCGAACCGCCCTCCACCATGGAAACCGCTTCAATCATTTCAGACGTATGCGTGCAGCGCTAAGGCGAAGGGCTCATCCCCAAACCTGCTGCAACTGCTACGGTGTCTAAAACACACATCTGCGCGGAGGTAAGGCGCACACAACATGTTGAACACTATCCCCTCCATCCATGAATATGTTGCAACACATGTCTGCGCATCGTCAGACAGAGAACCACAAGCCGTGAACATGCTCAAACCTTTGAAAGCAAGAAACAGCGCGGCGATTAAGGCGATAACCGCATTCTGACGACGACCCCCCTTACCCATGAAACCGTTGTCATTTTCGAGCTTCAAGGTCATGCATGGTGTGGGAGTGCTCATGGATGGCATGGCAGTCTCAAGCAAAACGACCAGCCCGCCCTACCGACACGTCTATGGGGTGCGACAAAGGGGGCTCATGTAGAAGGACGCGGGGTGGAAGAAGAGGAGGAGGAGGACCGACCCCCCACCTCCTCTCGGTAAGAAAACAACGACGGACATGTTTGGCAATTGTTGACCTCGGGAGGACCTCGAAGGGCCCCGAGGCCGTTCAACACTACTCAGAATGAAACTCGGGTCCTGGGGGAGGTGTCCAGATCTCCGGGGGCACACGCTGTAAAAAACACGACATCGGAGATCTGGGGAGGACGAGGACCGAGGAGGAGGAGGTCCGAGGAGGCCCGACCCCCCTCGAAGAACTTCAAAGAACGGTGAAACCGCTTTATCCTGAGAGAAAAGAACTCGAACCTCCCGAACCTCCCCGATCCCTGGACTCCTACACCGCGATCATCGAGCCTTCTCCTCCTCCTCCTCTTCCTCCTCCTCGTTCCTAGAGCCCGATCCTCGAACCTCGATCTTCGATGCTCGGACCTCCTCCCCCTCCTCCTCCTCCTTCTCCTGCTCGTCCTTCTCCTTCTTGATTCCCGATCCTCGATCCCCGAGCTTCGAAACTTATCCTCCTCGATATGAGATCCTCGAACTTCGAGGGGGAAGACAACAGACCGATACCGCTACAAGCAAAGCTGACGGAAAGGAGCGCCGATAAGGACGCAAGGGTCATGGAAAGCCATGCCGACACGTTTTGAGTGGAGCACGGCAAGCGAAAGTGGCCACGGATGGACCGAAGAGGCAATGATGCAAGGGTACCCGTGGGAAGGTTACGCATCCTTAACAAGGGCGCCTAACTTCGCGCTTCGTGCTGCGCGAAGCACGGAGAACTTCGCGCTCTCGCGCCGCCCCCCAGGGGAAAAGAGGAGGACGCGGAGGAATCGGAGCTGAACCTCGAAGCGCGAACAACTTCTCACCCTCAAGAGCGCCCTTGTGGAAAGGTTACCCATGCTTACCATCTGTTTCGACTGTACTCCACAGGCCTCTCGAGGAGCGAGTTCTGACCAGGACTATCGAGCCGAATCCAGCCGTGGCGACGAAGGACAGGCAACGGCATCGGCACTTCTCCCCCTCGAACCTCCTCCTCTGGCTCTTCCTTCTCCTCCTCCTCCTCCTCCTCCTCCTCCTCCTCCTCCTCCTCCTCGATCCTCGATCTTTCTTTATCCTCGAACCTCGATCCTCGAACCTCCCCCTCCTCCTCCTCCTCCTCCTCCTCCTCCTCCTCCTCCTCCTGCCTCCTCCTCCTCCTCCTCCTCCTCTTCCTCCTCCTCCTCCTCCTCCTCCTCTCCTCCTCCTCCTCCTCCTCCTCCTCCTCCTCCTCCTCCTCCTCAGTTAAAGAGGCATGCGCGGCCGAGGAAGAGCGCACCGAGTCCGCCTAGGTACGCGGCGCGGAGCTCACGACACGGGTGTACCAGGCGCACGGCGGTTGGCCAGACGTGGGCGAGCTGCCAAGCCCTTCACCCCGTGCCACCGCCTCCGCCGCCGCCTGAGCTCGTTCCGGGCATGCCCGAGCGGCATGGCCTCGGGCGCTGGCGGGGCGGTGGCCGGGAGTGCCGCCGCTGCCGGCCGCCACGCTGCGAAAATTCGGCATGCGGCGGAGGTGGAGCGCTGCCCGGGGCACGCGGCCGCCCGCCCTGCCGCGGACGGGGGCAGCGCCGGGCGGAGCAGCCGCGGACATCGCCTGCGGCGCAGAGCGGGCGTCGTGTGGTGCTGCCTTTGCGGGCCGGCCTGCGGGGCGATAGCCCCGGCGGGCCTCGGCAGCCGTCCGTGCTCTCCAACCGACAGGTCGGACGCGCTGCGAGGGCGCGGGTCACCGACCCCCGCTCGGGGTGCCGTCGCCGCCGAGCGCGGCGGAGGAGGAGACGTGGCAGGCCTGTGGGGGCGGTGCCGGCCAGTGAATGCCGCTGCAGAGGGGCTGCGGCTGCCGTGCGAGGCATTTGAGTGCCAGACGGCCACGGCCCTCTGGACACTGTCACTTCCCTTTGTCCTCCTCCTCCTCCTCCTCCTGCTCCTCCTCAGGCCCCTTTGTCCTCCTCCATGCCGGTATGGCCTCTCCACAGACCTCTCCAGGGTCGTGTTCTGACCAGGACTTCGGGCGAATCCAGCCGTGGCGACGACGGACGGGATCGGTATCTCTTTCTCCTCGGACCTCAATCCTCCTTCTCAATCATCGAACCTCGACCTGTGGACATCCAACCTCCCCTTTCTCCTCAGTCCACGGTCATCGACCCTCGATCCTCCACCTCCTTGAACCTCGATGCCTGACCCTCGACGCTGCATGCTCGATCCTCGATCATCGAACCTCAAACCTCGACCCTCGATCCTCGACCCTAGATCCTCCCCACCCTCAACCTTCGATTCTCGAGCCTCAATCCTCGAAATTGGATCCCCCTGCACCTCCTGGAACCGAGGGGCAACATTAGGTTCGGACCGGCCCATGGGGAGAAACATCGACCTGCCCAACTGGAATCGGCGATGCGTCGACGATGGATCGGCGCTAGGCCCCCGATCGCGAATCCGCACGGTCCTGGGCGGGAAGGGCCACCGTTCAATTGGGCACGTCCCTCTACAGGAGGAAAATTCAAGAATAGTTGAAAAAAAAACCTGGGGACTATTTTTTTAGTATCTTTGAGGACATGCCCGACCTAAGGCTGTCGGGCCCCGCTGTCGGCGTCGAATGGGCTCTTGGGGGTGTGGACGCGCCCCCCCCCCCCCCTCCAGGAGCAGACCCCCCCCCGAGCGCTGCCCTAGATCGGGCATATCCTCCTAGAGGCGGATTTTGGACGAAGAACCAGAAGACGCAAAAATGATACCGGAGAAAAACCTCAATCAAAGTCTTTTTAGGGCTATAAGGCGATGGGGCTATTGGGCTATAGGGCGATAGGGGCTATGGGTCTATGGAACTATAGAGCCATCGGGCCCTAGGACTATAGGTCTATAGGGCTATGATGCTATAGGGCTATAGGCATATATATGTATATATATATATATATATATAGCTATAGGTCTATAAGGCGCTATAAGGCTATAGGGATACATGGCTTTAAGGCTACAAGGCTATAGGGCGCTATAAGGATCTAGGGCTCTAGGGCTATAGGGCTATAAGGCACCTGGGCAACCGGGCACCTGGGCACCCGGGCGAGCCGCGGAAGTGGGCGGCAAAACTCACCTAACCACATGAATCCGCTAGGACCCCTACAGGGGCAAGCTCTGATTGGGGAAATGCTCAAACATAGTCAAACGTAGTCCACACGTCGTACGCTTGAACTATTCTTGAATGTTCCTCCTGTTGAGGGACAGGCCCGACTTAAGCGTTGCCCTGGAAGGATCCTAGCTTTTGGGTCGTAGCTCGGGTCTCGGGCGGCAGTTCGGGAAGATTCGGACATCTCTGAGCGCCTCTTGGCGAGGCGCAGCTGCTGAGACGCACCCTCAGGCGATAACATCTGTGTCTTGACATGGAAACGGACCAGCACTGGTTGACTGAATTCAGAAGTTGGCTACTTGGGTTCAAGAAGCGGGCTTCTGGAGTTCAGGGGGGAACACGCGTTTGTCTTGTTGCGGCATCTCCGAACGCAATGCCTGGACTCAATGAATCCGTTCTTGGAATTGACGACGCCGATCTTCTGGCACACAAGACGCACGTTGCTCGAATTCACAGCGCCCTCATGGCGTTGCCCCTGATCCTGGCGCCCCCCCCCCCGCGAGGGCCTCAGCAACACGTCGTTGTGCCCCGCGCCGTCCACCTCGACGAGGGAGGCGAGGGGCAGACCGGCTCCCGCCACCGCGGCCTCGCCCCCAGCAGCAGCAGGGCGGCGGGCGAGGCGGGCGTGCCCCCCAAATCCTCTCCGAGTGGAGCGGGCTTCAGGCCACATCGGTGGGAACGCCAGGATGCTGAAGCGGAGCGGCATGCGTTGGCCGACTCCTGCGCCGAGCGCCGCGAGCTCAATTTCGGCGGGCGCAGCGGAACGGAACATGGGCACCAGAGATTCCTCCTCTTCCTCCTCCTCCTCCTCCTCCTCCTCCTCCTCCTCCTCCTCTTTCTTCTCCTCCCCTGACATCCGATGTTGCGGACGTATTGCAACACCGTGTGAGCATACAACCGAAGCCGTAGGCCCCATCTTTCTTCGCCATTTTCCGAACCGGATCGATCTACAAAGGTCCCCGGGGCCCGAAGCCCAGCGAACACGCCCACGGCGAAGAACATGCAACGCCATGCTCTCAGGGTCCTCCTCCCCCCTTCTCCTCTCCCTCTCTCCCTCTTCCATCAGGGGAGGTCTGGGGAGGCTGCTCGCTCGAGTACTCTGCGCCCTCACGGGCATCTCGCCCCTTGCAACTCTTTGCGCCTTAATGTTCTTCCGCGCTGACCCGCAGCCTGAACTTGTTGCCGCCTGTGTCCATGTCGGACCGCCACCGCCATCTTCCGTCCATGAACGACACCTCTAGTCCGCGGGCGCCAGGTGGTCTGAGACAATCCGGCGCCGGTCGTGGCAAGCGGCGGGGCGCACCGGGAGCGAAAGGAGGCACGACGGCAAAGGGCAACAGAGAGCGCGCGAGGGGGGCAGGGGCTGGGGCCCACGCGAGCGGTGCAAGCAACGCGCCGGGAGCCCGCCCAGCGCGAAACCAACAAAAAAAGACGGCGAGGGCGAGGCCCCGGCAGGGGGGCTCCGGCCCGCTGGCCGAGGGGCGGCCGGGGCGGGCGCGGACCCCGGCGGCCCGCCGCCCTCCACGGGGGGCGGCCGGGAGCCGCCGCTCGCCAGGAGGCGTGGGCCCTGCGTGGGCCGTCGTTGTGACGCGGGCATCGGGTGGGGCTGGACCTCGAAGGCCGGCCGGACCCCCGCCTTGCCGCCCGCGGCGGCTCCCCGAGCAACTCGTAGCTCGAGGCCGAACAGGTGCACCAGCACGAGCCCCAAACAGGAGGAAGGACGACGGAGCCGAGTGCTGGTACTCGGTCCTCTTCCTTCTCTACCTGCTTCCTCTTTCCGCCTTCCTTCTTTTGCCGCCAGCCCCGAAATCCTGACCTCTCCCCGTACGGATCCGACCTCAATGCTTTGCGTGTGCGTGCATGTGCGTGTGTGTGTGTATATGTGTTGGGGGGTGGGTGGGCTTTCCCGTGGCGGGAGAGGGCGTACGGCTACGCTGTGCAGCTCTTCAGAGCAAATGCTCCTCCTCACCCTCCTCCTCCTCCTCCTCCTCCTCCTCCTCCTCCTCCTCCCAATCATCATCATCATCATCATCATCATCATCATCATCATCATCATCATCATCATCATCATCACCACCACCACCACCATCATCATCATCATCAGCATCATAATCATCAAGAACCCCCCTACCACCACCACCAAAACCACCACCACCACCATCATCATCATCATGATCATCATCATCATCATCACCATCACCAACACCAGCACCAGCATCATGACCAGCATCATGATCATGGCCATCAACATCATCATCATCATCAGCATCACCAGCATCAACAACTTCATCATCATCATCATCACCAGCATCATTATCATCGTCGTCATCGTCACCACCATCATCATCATCATCATCATCATCATCATCGTCATCGTCATCGTCATCATCATCACCAGCATCAACATCACCAGCATCATCACCATCACCACCACCATCGCCATCAGCATCACCACCATTATCATTCTCATCCTCAGAATCATCACAATCGTCGTCATCGTCATCATCAACATCATCATCATCAGCATTACCATCATCATTACCACAATCATCATCATTGCCACCATCACCATCACCATCACAGTCATGATCATCCCAGTCCTCATATACATCATCACCGCCCGCATCAGCATCAGCATCAGCATCAGCATCAGCATCATCATCATCATCATCATCACCATCATCATCAATCACATCATAATCATCATCAGCAACAGCAGCAGCATCCTCATCCCCCTCGACCACACCCTCCTTTTTTTCTCAGCTGTTCTTCCTCCTCCACCTCCTCCTCCTCCTCCTCCTCCTCCTCCCCGTCCTCTCTTCCTTCAGTTCCTTTTTCTCCTTCTCTTCCTCCATCTCTGTTCCACTCCTCCTCCCCTTATCCTCCTCTTCCTCCTCTTCTTTCGCAGCCTCATCCTCTTGCCTCCCCCTCCTCCTCCTCCTCCTCCACCTCCCCGTCTTTTCCTCTTCCTTCTTCTCCGCCTCCTCCTCCTCATCCCTCTCTTCCTTTTCACCCTCTGCCGGCGAGAATGCCCGACAACGAGAGTCAGTACGCCAAGGCTCTCGCTCGCTCGCTCGATGGGGGCGAGCGAGCACGGGGGGGGTGCGAGCGAGCGAGCGAGCAAGCGAGCCGACCTTGCGCTCGCTCGAGCGAGCGAATGGAGGCGCGAGCGAGGGGGCGATCGACCATGGGGGGGCGGGGTGCGGGGTGGGCGGGCGCGCGACGGGGCGAGCGAACATCAAGGTGCGGGGGCGAGCGGGCGAGTGAAAGGTGGGCGACCGAGCCAAGGGGGGAAAGAGGGCGAGCAAGCGAGCATGCGCGAACGAGCGGACGAGCTCGCGAGGAAAGGACAGGGTTCTCTCGCCCGCTCGCTCGAGCAAGCGAGCGAGCGAATCGGGTGGGTCGGGCTGGGCGGGACATGACATGCATGGTGCTCGCTTGCCCGCTCGAGCGAGCGAGCGAGAGGACCCCCTCCTTCCCTCGCTCGCCCGCTTGCCCCAGTGAGCGAGACAATCTTCTCCTCCCCACGCTCGCTTGCTGGGGCAGGCGAGCGAGCGGGTTGGGCGGGCTGGGTCGGACGGGCGGGACACCTCGAATCCATGGTGCTCTCTTGCTCGCTCGCTCGCCCGGGTGAGCCTGGCCGGGCAAGACATCCGGTGCGTGGACGGTGCTCGCTCGCTCGGCCGCACGAGCGAGCCTGGGCGGGCCGTTCGACGCATGGTGCCCGCTTGCCCGCTCGCTGGAGCACGCGAAAACGAGGAGGAGGAGGAGGAGGAGGAGGAGGAGGAGGAGGAGGAGGAGGAGGATGGGTGGGTGGGTGGGTGGGTGGATGGAGGGATGGATGGATGGATGCTCATCAAAGAGGCCCTGGCCGCCGTCTGCACGCAGACGGCCGCCAGGGCCCCAGATGTCGAACCCCGCGGGGACCAAAGCGGGCAACCCCAGCAGCCGCCAGCGGCCGCCCACACCCCAAGGGGGAACAAAAACGCACGGGGCGAGCCCGACCCAGGCGGCGGCCCCCCCGAACCCGCGCCGAGGGGCGCCGCCCAACATGTCGAGGCGGACCCAGCAGGACAGAGCGAGGGCCCTCACCTCAGCGCCGCTTCGGCCTTGTCGGTCTGGGCGCCCACCCAAACGAGGCGCCGCCGCCCGCCACCTTCTCCAAGTCGAGAGCCTGCTGGCGGGCCTCGGCGGCGTCGCTCTTCACCTCGTCTAGCTTCCGCTCGGCGTCGGCGAACGCCACTTGGAGGCTCATCTTCTCCTGCTCCGCATCCGATTACTTGGACTCCAGCTCCGCGACGTGCTGCGCCAGGTGCTCGCTGCCCACGGGCGCCGAAATAAGTGCCGCCCTCTCGGCCTCAAACTCGGCTTCGAGCCCTGCGACCATGCCGTTGTGCTCGGAGGCCGTCGCCACGATGCTGCCCAGCTTTGCGTGCAAAGTCACGACCTGCTGCTGCAACTGCTTCACTTCGGATTCCGCCGCGGCTCTGGCTGCCGGCTCGGCCGCCAACTCCGTCCTCAGATCCGAGATCTCCCAGTGCATCATCTCCTTGATGGTCGCCTCGTTCAGCTGGAACTTGCCGCCGTCGATACCCTTGCACTGGGAGTGCGCGCTCTCGATGTCCCTCTCTATGCGCTGCAAACCACCCGTGCGCTGCGAGCCACCCGTCTAGTCCGCCTGGTCCGAGAGATCCGCCTACTCGGACACGTCTTGGGCGCCCGAATTATCCGGGGTAGCTCGGGTCCAGGGGGAGTCGGGCTCGGAATCCCGAAAAACGAACCCGAGTTAGCCCTGACCCGAGTTACCCCTGATGATTCGGGGCTCTGAACGTCCGCCGTATCGATGGAGTCCACGTCCGCGCGCCGGCGTCTGCGGCCCCGTCGCCGCCGCCTCTTCTCCTTCGGCGGCGGGCCGAGGACCCCAGCGCCCTCGCCGAGCTCGACGTGGGCGGCGAGGTTGCGGTCCAGGCCCACGGCTCCTGACACTCGCCGCCCAGAGGCCTGCAGCACCTGCGCCCGCTCTATAGGAGGCGGAGGAGAAGGAGGCGGAGGAGGTAAATCCAAGTCAGGAGCGTTGCACCGTTGCATCGCTCATGACTTGGAACTACCTCCTCCTCCTCCTCCTCCTCCCTCTCCCCCTCCTCCTCCCTTGCGTGGGGGTCCTCTCGGTGGCTCACTCGCTCGAGCGAGCGCGGAGGTCTGGGGTGCGCAGCGGGCAGCGGAGCCCTGCCGCCGCTCCCCCAGCACACGCGGCGCCCTGCCCGACGTTGGCGGGCTGCCTGGCCTGGTGCTGCTTCTGCTGCTGCGTTCTGCGCGCGGGCGTTGATCCAACGACTTTTTCTGTTGCGCTCAAGGCCGTGCCTCCATAGGCCCAAGGGGACTACCGCGCGCAGCTGCGGAGGGTGAAGCTGCACGGGGCTCAGCCCTATTACTCTGAGCAACCTGAAAGCGACTCGACTCCGTCGCAACCTTCCGCTGTGCTCTGCCAATAAAGAGCAAGCAGTCGACTGCGGCGACGTGGCTTCAATGCCGACTCGCGGGAGGGCTCCCTGCCATCTTGTTGGCTCTTGCTGATCGGCGCTGGCC